AGGCGGGTCTCGAACCCGTGGGCTCAGGCAATCCACTCACTTCAGCCTCCCAAAGGCGCGAGATTATAGGCTGAGCCACCGAGCCCGGCTCTGGATCTTTCATATTGACCTTCCTGCCCACCTGGCACAATGCAGTCATGTCCCAGGGAGTATATGGGGCAGGAGCATTTTGCGCATATGTCCGGGATGTGCGGTGGATGGGCCTCTGACCTGGGTCTGACCGCAAGCATACTCCAGAAACAGCCACAGCAGAGTCAGCATTGAGTGCGGCATCGCAGGGCAACGGCAGGAGATAAGTGGGACAAAGCAGCATCTGTCAGCCCAGAGCCAGGCCCACCAGGCCGGGAAAGCTGGACAGGCAAGAGGCACGTGTGGCTCCACCTGGGACCCCCTGCTTGACTCTCTCAGGCTCTGAAGCCACACAGGCTTCCCCCCAGGGAGGTGAGACCCCTCTGTCGTACTTGAGAAGCCCACCCAGCCCTACCCCCGGCCCCCATCCCCCCTAGGCCATGGAGGTGAGTCCTAGGGACCCTGTGAAGACTGGCCTGGGGCTCTGACACCTTATGGGCTTGGCCTCAGTGTCCATGGGAAGGAGGCCATGTGGGAGGTGCAGTGATCTAGCAGCGTGTGGGGCTGTCTTGGGGGCAAGAGAGGGCCTTGAGGGCAGGACCCCAGCACAGGGCAGTGGCACTGGGCTTACCTCCGCGCTTGGATGACCGTGATGACTTAGAAGACGTGGACCACTGCTTCTTGAGGCCCCGTCCCACCAGGGGCTCTCCATTGCTGCTGCTGGGTTCAGGGGGCTCCCTGGAGGCCTGGTCTGGGGTGACTTCATCCTTGGCGAGCTCAACAGCTTCCTCACCATCCTCATTGAACTGGGCCATCTTGCGGGAGAGCATGAGCTGTGCCTCCTTCTCCAGCTCCCGGATGTTCTCCATGCTCAGCCCGTACCACTCGTCCTGCCAGCACCAGGCCTGGCGGTGGGCCCGCAGCATCACCCTTCGCAGGCCTGACCCAGGGAAGACACAGAGGGGAGTCAGCACCAGAGCCTGCACCAGGACCCCCTGGCTGGGACTGGGGCAGGGAGGCCACATCCATGTCGCAGGTCAGGCAGGCTGAAATCACTGCCTGTCTGTGCCTCAGTTTCCCTGTACATAAAATTAGGGGAGTGGCTCACAGATGGCCTCCGCAAGCTCACAGTGGCTCTATAATTAGAGTGGAGGGACCACCCAAGGAATGTGTCTGGTCAGAAGCCACAGATAATTTTAGGGGAGATTCCTTTCCCAAGAGGAGGTAGACTAGGACTTCCTGAGAGTCCCTGTCTTGATGTCTGGTATATTTTTCCTGTTGAATTTCCCATGGAAAACCAAGTTCAAGTTCAGAATGGGTTGGTTCTCTGTTTTTTTTGTTTGTTTGTTTAAAAAAATGCTTTTAGTAGAATATATTATACATATGATACATCAGAATATACTAGACATATAAATTAAGATGCAATAAGGTAAAATAATATACCATTTAAGGTAGCAAGAAGAAGAAAAGAACCACAGAGACAGAAAGCAGCCTGGGGGTTGCCTCAGGCGGGGCAGAGTGAGCATGACCCTGAACAAAGGACCCTCTGGGGTGATGAGATGCTCTGAAGCTCACCCTGGCTGTGAATCTACTAAAACTTGCCAAACTGTTCTCTTACAGCGAGTGAATTGTATAGGATGTAAAATGATGCCTCAATAAAGCTGTTTGAAACAACATTAAAAAGAAATGAGACATCCATGCTCACACCAGCCAGGGAAGGAACAGAGCATCACCAGTCACAGGGAGCCCCACAAACCTGTCCCTGCAAGAGTCTGTCCTGAATTTTGCTCGTCAATCGCTTTGCTTTCTGGTTTTAGCACACAGATGTGTTTTTCTACACTACTTGTCAGACTGGTTTAGCTGTTGTTGAAATTTGCATATACGTGTCACGCTGTGTGTTTTTCTGCCACTTGCTTCTTGGGTGTATTTCATCCATGGATGCACATGTGTGGGGCTCTAGCTTATCAGATTTGGGGCCATGTGGTATCTACATGTTTGAAATGCTACATTTCACTTATTCCTTTTCCTGCCAATGGGCCTTTGGCTTATTTGCATCCCTTTTCCATTTTGCTTTTACAAACCTGCTGCTCTGAATATTACAGAATGTATGTGAGCGTTTCTCCAGGGGCCAAACTGGGGAGGAACCAGTGCTGGGTCTAGGGCATGTGTCTTCCCCTTTCCCAGGAAATGCTGAGTGGCTTTCTAAGGGTCAAGCCACGCCATATTCCCAGGTTGGTCTCTTGGAGTCTCCCTTCCACTCACCTCCTTACTTCCCACCTCCACTCCTTTCTAAACCCCATTCACTCGTAAAGGCCTATCTGTGGGAAGCTTCCTCTCACCCTTGTCTGTGGGAAGGTGCCCAGTGTCTCCTGCCCAGGCCCTGGGGTGATCTCAGGCACACCGCACTGAAGAACCTCCATTACATTTTCTGGGCCTGTCTGCTGGCCTCACAGGGTTGCCAGGAGTCTCCTGCTCTAACCCATATGGGGAAGCGCCTCCTCCTGGGGTGGCCAGAATGGCTAGGATGCAGCACTCATCTGGGACCAGGCAGTAATGGGGACAGCTGAGACCCATCTCAATCCCCAGAAGTTGCCTCTCCAAGGCCACCTGAGGAAGTCCAGTCTAGGTCTCATGAGTTCAGGGATTATCCCTGGGATAGACGATTTTGCAGCTGTCAACAAGCAACTATGTGCCACGTCCCATCCTCAGTTCTGTACCCCTACGATCTCAACCCATTAACAGTCCTACAGGATTGGTATTATTACACTCATTTTACAGATGAGGAAAGTGAGGCTCAATGAGGTTAAGAGACCACATGGTAGAGTTGGGGTTGGACTTCAGAGTTGTCTTCTTTCTTCTTTCTTCCCACCGGCCCTATGATCCCACTTTCTGAGGGGAGAATTGACTTGTAGGGGGCTGAGGAGTCCTTACAGTTTAGCCAGAATCTCAGCTGCTGCATGGGGCTGGAGAGGGCCAAGGAGACCCAAAGAGCCTGAGCATCACAGCTCCTGGACCAGAAGCCAAGTCCCACCCTTAACAGGTCTGCCAGGGGCCTTGTGCTATGCTGATCCCAGAGAAGCACTGAAGAAAGGGTGGGACAACTCATCAGAACTGGCATGTTCAGATTCCTGGAGGCCAAGTCCTGCCCACACACCTCTCCCATTCTCACGCCACCCCTCATCCAGGAGGCAGAAACTGTCATTCCCCCACAATTGAGGGGGCAAAAGCCCAGGAAGGCAGGCAAGCTTGATTCCAGGATGCAGCCTCCTCCTGCCTGGGACCTTGCGCTAGGGATGCGGGACCCAGCCTGTGAGCCCTAGTAATGAGGAGGCCAGCTGGGACCAATCTAAGTGCCCACAGGGTTAGACAGACTGACTGTAGGGACTCATCCCCTCCAAGGGGTGGGACGTCTTCCTGTCACCTCCCCCCAGCTGTTGACCAAGCTACAGTAGCCCTCCTAGAACTGGGGCGGTGGATAACATGCCTGAGAGTTCTGCCCTGGGGACAGGCCCTGTCCACAGCAAGTCTCTGCGTCTCCAAGGGGAAGACCTACCTCCTGAGACCCCAATCCTCTGTAGTACGTGCTGACCTTTCCCTTGGGTGAGGCAGCAGCACAGTGAACAGCTATCTAACAAGATATTCCTAGCCCCCCTGCGAAGAAGGGGAGGATGCTTGTTCAGGACAAAGGTGGCTGGGAGATAGCAGATCTGGTTCAGTGCTAGTGCTGGGGTCTCTGCTTCCTCTTCCTTAAATGGAATGATGACATCCACCCTCATTGGTCAACATGAGCCAGTGTGATGAGTGTGGAATATACTATCAATAGTGTGGCTCTGTTCATGTCTAAATTAAGTCACCCTGGCTTGTAGTACCACGAAAGTGCCCGGCTAAGGTGCCTGTCCTGGGTCATGGGCCTCAAGGGCTAGAACCAGCCCTTGGCGCTGATGTCATGCCATGACCTCAGCAGAGTTGAGGCTGAGGGTGATGAGAGGTCAGCACTCACTGGGTCAGGACTTCTGTTCCCTGGGCACCGGCTCTGGGCCAGGCCAGTTTGGGTACGAAGGATATTCTGATGTCTGAGACATCCTGCCCCTGGAGCTTCTAGTTCAGTGGGGAAGGCAGAGCTATGTGCCTGGGCCTGGGGCTTGATTCTCCTCAGGTAGAGGAAACAAAGCCCAAGAACTGAGAGGCCCAGGTGAGCAGCAGGGCAGCTGTCCCCAGGGGCGGCTCACTCAGGGTGTGGGCTACATGTTATCAAACACAGACCAGGTCAAGAATGTCTAGAAGCAGTGCCTGGGGCTTCTCCATTGGACAACATGTACTACTCGTGGTCTGCAGGTGCTCAGGAAGTATTCATGAATGGTCAAGATAAGCCATGGGGGAAAACCGGACATGGGCTTTGGGTCACTTTTTTGGGAACAAAACAGAAATGAAGATTTCTAGGCAGACATGCAGAGAGAGAATGCAGACAGGCAGGTGGCAGGAGACAGAGGTCCCGGGGGCCCAGCCATCACCTGCTGGCACAGGGTGTGCTCACCGGTGTCATGGATGAACCTCTCGATCTTGGACTGCATACCCCAGTAGCGAAACTCCACCTTGCAGAGCTTGTAGGCGCACATGATGGGGAAGACCTGCTTCTTGTACTCCTCGATCCAGTTATCAGAGAGGGGGCCCCGCTGGGTCTTGGTCGACTGGAACAGCTTGGGGTCCTCTTCCGTCTTATACTCATTGGGAGGCACAGGGTCTTTGACAATGTCGATGAAGTCTGCAGGGAGACCCTGCTAGTGGCCACTTTTGCTCCGACCTGGAACCCCTCTCCCTGTCTCCTCTCCATGTCCCTCATGTCCCTCCACCCCCAAATCCTTGCAGTGGATGCAAAGGGTAGATGCCACAGAGCTGGGGGTACAGAAAATAGGGTCAGGGGCAATAAGAGGAGAGGCGGTGTCTCTGGGCAGAATGTGGGCCAGGCCGCCTCTTGTCACAGGCCTCCCCTGTACAGGAGTATCTCAGACCCTGTCTGTGGCCTCTTTCCCCAAAGGCATGTGCTCACTCATGAGGCCTGTGTGTGTTGCATAGGGCTGGAGTACACACTCGGTAAGAAGGAACCCCAGGAAAGGGTTTGTGGCTCACGGAGCCATTCTTCTGAGCGGGTTTGCCCCAGTTAGGCCCTTGGCCGTCTCACCTTCCCCCACACACCAGCCCCCACGCAATCTGAGTTGCAGATTACAGATACAGATGTCAGCTCCACTGAAACCAGCGAGGTCAGGAACAAGTCTGAGGGCAGTGGTATGCAGGGAGGGACAATGTCCCCCCCAGAGCAGACCACATGCCCAGCCATGCTGGCAGGCAAAGGCCACCAAGGGCAGGACTGAGCCATGAAGGGGTGATGTCATGGAGACTTAGGATCCATGGCTGCTGGCCTCTGGGGAGCCTGCAGAGCTCAGGCTATGTCCAGGTTGAATGACAGAGCTGCCAGAGTGCCCAGGTCATGCTGGGTCCTTTCCTTCTGATCCCACCCCCCATTCCTATGCTGAAGTCCTAAACCCAATCCCACAGAATGTGACCTTATTTGGAGATAGGGTCTTTAAGTGAGGTAATCAAGTTAAAATGAGGCCACGGAGGTGGGTCTAACCCAGTACACCTGGTGTCCTTATAAAAAGAGACACTGGGGCAGACACAGAGGGAGACGACCACATGACAAGACTGGAGTGATGACTCTATAAGTCAAGGAACGCCAAGGATTGCCAGCCACCTGGGAAGCTGGCAGGGAGGCCTGGAACAGATTCTCCATCAGAGGGATCCAACCTACAACACTCTGACCTCAGACTTCTGGCACCTAAAATTGTAAAAGAATAACTTCCTGCTGTTTAAGCCACTCCATGTTTTGGTACTTTGTTAGAGCAGCCCAGGGACACTAAGGTTCCCAAACCCTAGAGGGGTCTGAAAGTGCCAATAGAGGAGTGAGGGTGAGGGGATCAGGGCCTGGAGCTGCTCCTGGGCTGTGGGAACCCACCTCTACCTAGCTGTGCCCTGCCTGAGCTGTCTCCATGGTACCCTGGGCCATGCACCCAAAGGTTGTGAGAATTCCGAGCTGCATTTGGTCTACAGATGTGTTTTGTTTGACTGGCCTAAGGTAATTTACAAAGATTTTTAGTTGGATACCGATGTTTAGGAATTGGGAAAATTTGCACGAATATTCTCAACTCTGGCCTCTCTTGAAAATGAAAATTTTCAATGGGGCCTGCTTTCTGCACAGCAGCGCCCTCTGGAGGGGATAAGGCAGAGGCAGCCACCACCAAGAGGACACATGTTCCACTGAGTACCATGGCCTCTGCCAGCCCAGGACACTCATGCATACCTGTTAGCCTGAGACAGCCCCTGGAGCACACATGTGCACTTCTGGGGAGTGGGGGACCCTTGAGAAAACAGAGGAAAGGGGCTCTGGCTAGGAAGGGCACTTCGACTTGGTGTGCAGCTCAGAAAAATGGGGCCGCTCATGCTTGCTTGGATACTGACTTGCCTGGCCAGGATGGGGCCAGGTCTGGAGTCTGCCAAGGGGCAGGACTGAGAGAAGCCTGTGAGTGGGGAACCCAGAACACAGCCCTGGAGGGCTCCTGCTTTTCCTGGTTACCGATCGTCAGCTGGTTCTTTTCCACAGGGGAGAGGCTGAACACATCAGAGTTTTCTCCAGCATCGGTTTTATAAAAGGTTTCAATGTCAATGGAGAATTTTTCCACAAAAGGGCAGGTGAATCTGTGGGGAAGGAAAACATCCATCAGGACCTGTGCTTGGAGGGGCCCTGGGGAGACCGGCTAGGGCCTGTCAAACCTACCAGGTAGGAGTCAAGTGAGGGAGTAGGAAGAAGAGGAGGAAGGGTAGCTAAGACTCATCTGCCCTGTCCACCTCCTGGACTGCCACTTTGTACCAAAAACAGCCAAGGCTAGGATGGGGGGAGTGAGGAGTTTACGGGCAGGAGGAGGCAGTGTGGGAAGCTGCTGTGATTCCTTTATGGCTGCTAGAAGCTCCTTGTCTATTGTCTGTTGTTTATGACTTGGTGGGAACGCAGGCACAGCTACGGTAGTGTATTGCTGAGTAGGCGGGAGCTGGGGTCAGTGCTCTAAGGGGCATGCCATCCAGTTTCCAAGGAGCCAGCTCTGACAACAGGGAACGGCTCCTCTCTCTGGGAAGAGGAACAAGCTCCATGGATCCTCCAGCAAGTTACAGGTGCTCCCCTATGTAGGAAGGGACCCTACTGCTCAGCATACACACTGAGGGCAGAGTGGAGAACCCTTCACGGGGGATCCCAAGGAAAGCCTTGCTCAGCACAGAATGTCATATGACAGTCACAGCAGCAGTTGGAGGGGACCTCTGGGTCATCTTGTCTTCCCCTCAGTTTCTTTCCAGCAGGCTGACTGTCCTGAACTTCTCAGAGAAACTTAAATTGAGTTATATTCCCTGTGTCTTCCAGATGGCAAAGGATGGCCCTTGCTTGACTCATGCCTTCATGGCTTCCACCCCTGGATAAGTCTTGAGGTATTTAAGGATGCATCCCTCCCTCTCCTGTCTGTGTCCACTCTGGGTAACCTTCAGGGCACCTGTCTGGGGCAAAGTCTGGGCTCCTGGGGTTGTGGGGTGTTGGCCTTGCCTGGAGGTCCCAGCCCCTGGTTTTATGCCACAAGTTGCTTCCTGCCAGATGGCACGTGGAGGCAGGAGGTATGCAGAGGCTGAGGCAGGCGCACCTGGTTCTGGTGTAGGGGTAGGCATTCCAGGACTCCTCCACCACCCGCAGGGCCGCCTTGGGCAGGATGGAGCGGAACCAGCCGGGGATGTGCATGCCCACATGGTACACCTTGTGCGTGTACTGCCCAGAGCCACCAGGGCCATCAGTGTATGGCCGGTTCTCCAGGATCTCCACGCCGCTGCCTTCACCATAAGTCTCGTTCCGGCTCTTCTTCTGTGGGGACAAAAGTATCTGTGAAATGTGGAGGGAAGGGGCTCTGGAGACTGAGTTCGGGGTATGGAATGGGCAGAGGGGTTTTGGACAAAGAGATTGTTTCCTCTGATGTTGCTTTGGGACCCTCAAATCTAGACCCAGGCTCCATGTGTCCAAGGTCTCATGCAGGAGTCTGAAGAGGACATGGATTCCCTCTTCCAGACCTAGCACTGAACATGCAAAACGTCCATTCTGATGCTCATTCTGTCTGCCACAAAACTGCAAATGTTTCCAAGATCAGGAACAAAACAGGATGTCTGCTTTCTTGCTTCTCCTCACCACTGTACTGGAAGTTCTAGCCAGAGCAATTAGGCAAGAAAAAGAAATAGTGAGAGGCATCTAACTGGAAAGGAAGAAGTAAAACAATTTCAATTTACTGATCTTTTTATTTTTACTTTTTTGTGGAGATGGGGTCTTGCCCTGTTGTCCATGCTGGTCTTGAACGCCTGGCCTCAAGAGATCTTCCTGCTTAGGCCTCCCAAAGTGCTTGGATTACAGGTGTGAGCCACCACACCCGGCTGCTGATGACATAATCATATATTTGGAAAACTGTAAAGAATCTCCCTAAAGCCTGTTAGACCTAATAAACGAATTCAGCAAAGTTGCAGGATACAAAACAATATACCAAAATAAACACTTTATTTTTTTATTTTTTATTTTTATTTTTTGAGTTGGAGTCTCACTCTGTTACCCAGACTGGAGTGTAGTGACCGCTCCCGGCCACTGCAGCCTCGACCTGCTGGGTTCTGGCGATCCTTCCACCTCAGCCTTCCAAGTAGCCAGAACTACAGGCGGACACTACCACGCCTGGCTAATTTTTTTGATTTATTGTAGAGATGATGTCTCGCCAAGTTGTCCAGGGGGTCTTGAACCCGTGGGCTCAGGCAATGCACTAACCTCAGCCTCCCAAAGCGCGGGATTACAGGCTGAGCCACTGAGCCCGGCTCAAAATAAACACTTTAAAAAAGAAATGAAGAAATCCATTCCATTGGCAGTTAAGGAAAACTGCCAGAGGAGGGAGGGGCAAACCTCATCAACAAGGGTACCTGCATAATGAACATTTGTATACCTAACCTTGAATTGTACCCCACATCTTTAAAATAAAAGGAAAAAATCAAAAAGAAAAAAAGAAATCCATCCATTTATAGTAGCATCTGAAAGAATAAAATTCCTAGGAATAAATTTAGCCAAGGAGGTGAAAGACTTGTGTACTGAAAACTACAAAACACTGTTGAAAGAAATTAAAGTACTAAATAAATGGAAAGACATCCTGTGTCCACTGGTTGGGAAATGTAATATTGTTAAGATGGCAATACTTTCCAAAGCAGCCTATATACCCAATGTGATAAAAAACCCAGTTGTCTTTTTTATAGAAATGGAAAAGCTGATCCTGAAATTCATATAGAATTGTAAGAGACCCAAATAGAGAAAACAATCTTGAAAACAAAACTAAGCTAGGGACTCACACTTCCCTATATCAAACAAAACTTATTATAAAACTATTGTAATCAAAACTGTAAAACAGTGTAAACCTGGGTACTATAATCTCAGCACTTTGGGAGGCTGATGTAGGACTGCTTGAGCCTAGGAATTCAAGACCAGCCTAGGCAACATAGTGAGACCTTACCCCTACAGAAAATAAAAAAATTAGCCAGGCATAGTGGTGCACGCCTGTGGTCCCAGCTACTTGGGAGGCTGAGGTGGAAGAAGGGCCTGAGCCCAGGAGGTCAAGGATGAGGTGAGCCACTGCACTCCAGCCTGGGATACAGAGTGAGACCCAGATTCAAAAAACAAACAAGCCGGGCTCGGTGGCTCAGCCTGTAATCCCAGCGCTTTGTGGGGCTGAGGTGAGTGGATTGCCACGGGTTCGAGACCCGCCTGGGCAACTTGGCAAGACCTCATCTCTACAATATATCAAAAATTAGCCGGGCGTGGTAGCGTGCGCCTGTAGTCTCAGCTACTTGGAAGGCCGAGGTGGAAGGATCGCCGGAACCGGGAGCGGCCACTGCACTCCAGTCTGGGTGACAGAGTGAGACTCCAACTCAAAAAAACAACAACAACAAAAAACAAAACAAAACAAATCTTAGTGTACCAAAGGACACTCAAGAGAGTATCCCTTGGGCCTGAATGGAAGAAAATATTTGCATATTATACATCAGATAAGGGACTTATCTATTCAAAATAGATAAAGAGCTCCTATAACTCAATAACAAGACAACCCAATTCAAAAAGGAGCAAAGGACTGAAAAGTAATTTCTCCAAAGATGCACAATTGGCTAGTAAGCTCATGAAAAGATGCTCCACAACAGTAGTCATAAAAAAAATGCTAATCAAAACCACAATACAACAGCACCTCACACCCATTAAGATATCTATTACTGGTCAGGTGAGGTGGCTCACAAATAATTCCAGTACTTTGGGAGGCCTTGGTGGCAGGATTTTGAGCCCAGGAGTTCAAGACCAGCCTGGGCAATATAGCAAGACCTCATCACTGCAAAAAAATTTAAAAATTAGCCATGTGTGGTGGCATTTGCCTGTAGTCCCAGTTACTCAGGGAGCTGAGGCTTCAAACAAACAAAAAACATGTAAAACAGGCATTGTAAGAATTCTTGTGCACGGCTGGTGGGAATATAAAACTGTGAAAGCTAATTTTGCAGTTCCTCCAAAAGTTATACATAGAATTGCCTACCACATAACCAGCAAGTCCACTTCTGGGTATGTACCTAAAATAACCGACAACAGGGACCAGAATAGATACTTGTATACCAAGCCTTCAGATGACTCCAGCCCCACCAACTGAGGCTAAGTGTTCACAGAAAAACTTGTACACCAGTGTTCATTGCAGTATTATTCACAATAGCCAAAAGGTGGAAACAACTCAAATGTCTGTGGACAGATGAACGGTCTATTCACAGGATGGAATATTACTCAGCCATAAAAAGGAATGGAGCACTGCCTACATGCCACAACTTGGATGAACCTTGAAAACATGATACTAAGGGAAAGAAGGAAGACACAAAGAACCACATATTGTATGACTCCATCTATGAAAAGTCTAGAATAGGAAAATGTAGACAGAGACAGAAAGTGGAGTAGTGGTGGTCTGGAGCTAGGGAACATGGGGAAAAGAGGAGTAACTACTAATGGGTACAGGCTTTTGTTTTTAACCCAACTACTCAAGCTGGTAGGTTCAGGTCTCTTTTAAGATGATGAAAATACTCTAGAATTAGATTGTGAGAATGGCTGCACAGCTCTGTAAATATATTACAAACTACTGAACTGTGCACTTCAGATGGGTGGATTATATGGTATGAGTCATAGTTCAAGAAGCTGTTTCTTCATGGGTCAAGGGGACAGGGTTTGTTGTGGAATGCTCTGTTTCTTGACCTGGTAATGCTTACTGATATGTTCACTTTTTGTAAGCCCATCCAGGTGGACACTTATGAATCATGTACTTTTCTGTACATACACAATACTTACATAAAAAGGGAAAAGAATTAGGAATGAAGCTGGAGGGGAGCCTACAGGTTTCTCAGTGCCTCCCAACTTCAGAACGCTGGGCGGATGGAAACTCTGCCACTCAGAGCCATAGTCCACAGAGAAGCTCTAGGACCACCACGAGCAGACTTTCATCAGGTGGCAGGGTCTCTGAGAATGAACGATGACCCTGCCTCCCTCTGGGAAAGCCACAGCCCATCAGGCAAACATTGATAGCTGGAACAGCTCCAGAGTACAAACATCTAGCAAATGCCCCCATTGGTGGCGGGTCCCACCCAGAGGGAGTCACAGAAAGCAGCAGGAGGAGATGTCACTGTCCAGGCTTGTCTACTTGAGGAATATTCATCCATGTCCTAAGTTTGGGGTATCTAGGAGACACACTGAAAGAGAAGGACCAACATGATGTGATGAGACATTAGAAGTCATGAGAGGACACCCTCCCTCAGTCTCAGAAGGTCAAGGAGGGTGACCTGCAGAGGATCTGGGAGATGAGGAAGTGCTCTCCAGGGAGAGGTGGACAGGGCAGGGAAGTTGGGCAGAAAGGCAGGTGATGGAGCTAAAGACATGTCTGGAGGGGGGAGCTGGGAGGTTGTGGAGTCAGGTTGTGGGGGCTGTGGGGCAGGGAGCTGCAGAGAAGGGTCTGGAAGCCAGGCAGGAGCCAGATCATGAAAGGTTTCAAATGTACTGTTTAAGGAGGATAGCGTTGATGGGGAAGGGGAGGGTTTAAGCAGAAGGGCCTGATCTAATCTGGTTTCCAGGAAAGATGTCCCGGCACCTATATGGAAAGTGGGAGGTCTCCTCGCATTAGAAGCTGCCCATAGGTGTGGCGTTTTCTGGGTTGAGACAGGAGGCATGATTGGGGAGCAGCAAGAGATGCCTCTGTGATCAGCATGAAGGCCGGGTACTTGCTGGCTTTAGGGACATGAATCTCTTGGCAGCTGAGGGAGAAGGAACCACTGTCAGAAGTGTTCAGACAGCCCAGGCATGGTACAGAGACCAGCAGCCTAGCACTAAGTCTTGCTCACCATGGTGGGCAAAGGCTCCGTACCCCCAAGCAGCTGGCTGCTCTGCCATGGGCTGAGATCTGTAGATTCCTACCCTGTGCCCAGAACTGTCCTGTGTTTATCAAACTGTGGAAACCAGTTCAGGTAAAAGGGAGCCACATCTTCACCATTCAGGCCACAGGCTCTGGGCCCTATTTACCAAGGACTTCCTAACCTGCCAGGAATCATGATTTCTAAATCAAGCCTTGCAGTGGTGTTGGGTGAAGAGCATGACATGCCCTACATGCCCTGAGCCCCTGAACAGCCCCTCCCTGCAAGTGTGGGGCACAGGATCTTCCTCTCTCTTTTTGTAGAGGCAGGATCTTACTACATTGCCCAGGTTGGTCTTGAACTCCTGCCTTGTGATCCCAAAGTGATCCTCCTGTCTTGACCTCCCAAGGTGTTGGGATTACAGGAGTG